GCCTAGTTCCCTCCTTCCCCTTCTGGCCTTCCTTACCTCATAGACAGTTTTCTCTTTGAGGATCATGAAGGATGCCTTCAAATTTTGTTGCCTTAGCTCACTTCATTCTCAGTGTACATTAGTGACATGAGTCCTGAAGTCCCATTTGTTAGTTATTGCTGTGTAACAAATTATCTCAAAACATAGTGGCAAAGCCAACAAACACTTAGATTCTTGAAGTTTCTGTGGGTCAGGGAGCAGCTCCCAGGCTGTAAAGTGTCAGCCAGAGCTGCAGTCATCTCATAGTGTCAAACTGTGGGAGGATCTACTTTCAATCTCCTTATACTTGTTGGCAACCTTTGATTCCTTGCCACGTGGGCTCTCCACATGGTTGGTGTTGTAAGACAGCAGCTGGTTTTCACCAGAGAGAGTGCCTAAAAAGGAAGTCGCAGATTAAAAAAAAAAAAACACCTAATCTCTGAAATGACATATCCTGTCTTCTGCCATATTTCACTTACTAGAAGTGAGGCAATAAGTCCACCTCACACTCAGGGGGAAATTGATTATAAAGCAATACAGTGTTAGCAACTGGACCATCATCTGATAATGATAAACTATTTAATGAGCAAACATAAAATAGGTTGACAAACAGATAAATCTCTGCCCCTTAGGGAAGATTTATTAAATGGCTTAGTTATTAAGGTTACCTATTTGTACCTTAATAATGAGTAGCAGCCCAGTAAATATTTGTGAAATGAATGAAAGAAAGCACACTCCATTTGCTTTTTTATTTTGGAATTCTACATGCTGTACAGCAAGAAAGTGAGTCATTATATCTTTTCCACATCCTAGCTATCACTTAATCATATTTTAATTCCTCACCAGTCTGAATTTAAACATCTTGGTGAACTGTTCTTTTTGTGCATGCGTGGCTTTTTTCCCCTTTCTTTTTTATGAGTTGTTGTATTCTTCAAGAAAGTAAGTAGACAGCATGTGAGACACCTGGGTTTGATCCTTCAGCTCTGCAAAAAAAATTATAAAAGAAGTAAGTAGAGAGGCAAAAGGAAAACAGTACTGTCAGCAATGATGGGCTTTGTATATGATTTTATAAACTTGATCATTTATTTTTAAACATATTTAATTTTGTCTGATTTGATTTTTTAAAATACACAACATATTCATATAGTTCAAAAATTTAAAATGAAATAAAAAGGTACATAATAAAAAATCTTGGTATCTACCTCCTCCCTCTCAGCCTCCCCACTCAATAATTTTTATTAATATTTTTATAAACTATTTTAGGATAGTTTTCAAGAAGAAAACTATCAGCGCTGTCCCAATGTCCTTCACTTCAACTTGCCCTCATGTTCACGCTTGCATTAGCATGGTTCATTTATCAAAAAGAAGAAATTAGCATTGAACACAATCCATTAATGAACTGCAGATTTCTTGGGTTCATCAGTATTTCCACTAGTGTCCTTCTGTTCCAGAACCCCATGTGCACTTTAGCACTTTATTTTTTAAACTCTCTCATAGATGTGTATCAGTAGGGTGAAATATATAGGGTATTCCATAGAAAAGTTCAACTTTTTCTTGCTACATTCCCAGTTCTTCACCCTTCACACTAGTCAAAAGTATATTCTACTTTTGAAAACTGTATTTTCCATTTAGATAATGTGGTAAATGTGAGTAAAACATTAAACCACCGTTGAGTGATTTGAGTAAAGCATTAAACTGAGCTGGGGAAGCTCCGCAGTGATCGTGCTGGCTGCCACCGACAGCGGGGAGCCTTCAAGTCGTAGGTATAATATTGTACTTTCAGCTTCTCTATTTTTCATGCACAGTGAAGATGATTCTCTTTGTGATGGTCATTCATTCAGGCCCGTCAGCGATATACATTTCGTCCAATTCCAAGATTCTGAGATTTTTTTTTTTCCCTAGCACTATGTTGCCACCTTTGGACTAGACTTTTTAAGTCTTCATTTCTTTCTTACAATTTTTTTGTTAGCATACATTGATATACAGAGGGAGCTCTTGAATAATTCCGTGGTTATGTACAGTGTATATTGAACAAGTTTGCCCTAAGTCTTCATTTTTAGAAGGAAATCAATATACGGGGAAAGAAAATGGAAAAGACTTTTCCAGCTATGATACCCAATTTGAAATATGTAGCACAGCTCTATAAAGGAATACATCATATGCAGGACATGAAAATGCACAGGATCCAGGAGGAAGAGAAGGACCCTATGATGAAAGACAGACAATAGAGGGAAGTCCCATTTGCTGGCCACAGCAGGGATGCAGCTGGCACTACGGAGATCTACCAGGACACAGTAAATACTAGGCTGGAGTTTGGGGTTCTG